AATTTCTAGGTGCCATTTCTTCTTGTTTTTGTGAATTTACTTAAAGATATTGGGTCACTAATGCAGAACAAAGCTTCTCGAACTGACAAAGGGACATTTTTATATTTCCAATTGGTCATGAACTGAGATGGGGGCCTACTACACACAACAGGTACACAAACTACACTCATGCAACTCACAAAGAGCATTTAAGAACATCTGAAACCATCTACATGCTAACACAAAAAGTGCACGAACATGCTGGAGGAAGACAACTTGCACATTTGTAAACACTCTGCAGTGCTTAAACATTTCTACTATTTACTTTCTTTTTAAAATTTTTTATAGATTTTTTTAAAGATTTTTGTTCTTTTTAGTTAAACATGACAGTAGAATGTATTTTGATATATTTATAAACCCCCAAGACTAGGATCCTAATTAGAGTAAGATATACAACTATTTACTTTTCATTCCTATTATATTCTGCATATCTCATCTTGAGCAACACTGATATAAATTTCCCATAGTCTAGATTTAGATTTTTACATCTCTATGTGATTTCAGCTGTTTATCTGTCCTCTATATGTCCTATCAATGTGGGAGTTGAATCTATAACTTCATCAAGTACAACTTTTCAGGCAAGTCTTTACTGTTGGTATCATATTATTCCCTCAGAGACACAGAAGTGAGACTGACCCCATTTTTGAGATATTAGTACTCACTAATGAACATAAAATTAACACATTTTGTCAAAATGTCACTAGTAAATTTGGTGCCCAATGCTTATTATTTGAAAATATCCCTTAGGAAGATGTCCTTCTCTCAGGTACCACTGTGTCCCTCTATGACCTCAATTACTAACAGTACAGAACTTCTAGCTGTAAGTTTTAACTTCCCATCTTTTTGTGAAAATCTTGTCACCTAGTTGTGTTGTAGATGTTATCTGCACTTTTTTGTTTCACTGTTTCAGCTGATGTATCACTTGGAAACACTAGGGATATTATTAATAGGCATACCAACCTGTCTCCTAGGATTAAAAAAAAAATTCCTTGTAGCATCTTAAAGTAAACATTGAATTCATTGATTTGCAGAGGTTCCAATGTTTTTAATAAATTTAAAACTAAATATGCCAAAAATACCCTGTTATCAACATCTCATTAGTTTTGCCTTTTTAATGCTATGACTGTATGGTTTAAGTAGAGGCTAGCAATATTCTCCATCATAAAGTGACAATCTCTCCCAACATATGAGCAATATGAAATGAGTATTTTCACTGTTGGTGAGTGGTAAGTAATACACAATTTAATATAATATTTCCTTTGAATCTAGAGTTGTGAATTTCTTAAATTTATGAGGCCATGAAAATTTTCATCATTCTTTAAAATTGCTTTCTAACTACAAACTACAATATAGTCAAGCAAGCATGGATCCATGTTATAGATTCTTTCACATTTGTTTAGACTTCACCTATCAACTAATAATGGGCAATTTGTTTTAAATATTCCAAAAAACTATATAGATTTGACTCCTGGGTACAGAATATAAATGGACATCCATATGTAGACACAAAACATTTATAAAAATAACAGAATTCATATGCACTCATATATAAACCCAGTTTTTATATTTTAAAAATAAAATGAATCAAGCTTTTTAATCATGGTTTTCAGATATCCTTTATCATTACTCATGTTTCCTGCTTAATCCACAGTGCTGGTGGGTTTTTTTATTGTTGTTGTTTTGCTTTTTTTTTTTTTTTTAACAAAAGTAAAATCTTCTACCATAATCAAGAACTTGGCAAATTCAACTTTTAATCTTCAGTCTCACTTTATGTATTAAGGTTAAAATACTGCATACATAAAAGTTCATAATTTATTAGGGTTGTTGCTTGATATATTATACCCTATTTATCATCATTTCTATATATTCTACATTACCTAAGAACAGTACTGCTGTACCCATCTTCTTTTGGTAAGCATTTACTGCATATATCACTTTCCCATCCTTTATTTTCAACATTAGGTGTCCTTTGTTTCAGATTTCTCTAAATATTTAATCTAGTAATGAGTTTCTTTAATTGCTAAGTTTAACCCATTTTAATTTGTAAATACTGATATATTTGAATTTATGCCTATATTTTTCATTCCTACTTACCATCTTCCTTTTATTTCCTTTATGCTGACTTCTTTTAAACTGACAAAGCTTTCTAAACTATTATTTTTTCACTGTATCAGTATGGAAGGCATGGAGTTAACTCAGTATCCTTTCCCTAAATGTGAAAACTTTAGCAGACTTTACTTATTCATTGCCCCTTCCAATTTGTTGGAGTCATTTGTAGTTTTCATTTTATCTTTTCTTCAAAACACAAAAGGGTTTTTCCCCCATGTTCAGATAAAACAATGTTTTGTCATAGTTCATTTCCTTTCTATGTGCATCATTGTTTCTTTGGCCCTGTAATTCTACAATTTTCTTCTTGCTGAATAACATATTATATTTAAAAGATTACAAAGATTATTTAATAACAGGAAAGCTTTATAACAAGAAATAAACAGGTATGGTGGCAGACATTTGTAGGAGGCTGAGGGAGGAGGACTGCAAGTCCTAGGCCAGCCTGGGCAACTTAATGAGACTCTGCCTCAGAATAAAAAGTACAAGGGCTGGGGATGCAGTTCAATCGCAGAGCACTGGCAAGTTCAATCCCCAGTATGTATTTACATGTGTATGTATGTATATGTATATGTGCATCTATATATGTATGCATGTATGTATATAAAATTCTATATATGTATCTGTATATGTATGTACATATATAAAATTCCTATCCACAGAAAAATGAAAAGAAAAAAAGAATTTCTTGAGAGTTAAGATTAGATCAGACTTACAACCAATACTTTGAGAGCAGAAATTCTGAAACCACTATGTCTCTCTCCTCCCCACTCCCACTGATGAAAGAAAAGCTCCCCTTGGGTCTTAAGCAGGTGCCCCTTACAAAGCAGTTCTGTGGAAATCAAGAAAATACAGTAAATTAGGCAATGAATTCAGAAGACTCATGTTCCAGGTTTTGCTCTGCTACTGACTGGCTGCACATCTTTTTGCAAGTCATTAAACCTTTTGAGACCTCAGATTCCTTATATTGAAGTGGAAATAATCTACCTCACACAATTTTTATTAAGAGCAGTAAATGAAACAATGAACTGAAAGCACCTTATCAAATTATAAGGAAATCAGACTCACATGCTCCTGTGTGCAGTAATTTTTAAACTATAAATCAGAACATGCAGTAACTTTATCTGACTAGATTAGCCATGCATGTTCCCTGCTAAATTGGACTGGACCCAAATAAACATGAACCAAGGAAAGGGCTATTTCAGCACCATCCTCCTATTTTCCATCTTCTGTGGTAGCCTGGATTTTCCCTCCATTAAAATGCTAGTGTGCATCTCATAGACTTCATAGCCTTCATTGCCTCTCCCATGGCAGGCAGGCTTATAAACATCAGTGTGCATGTTCCTGTTTTATTTCTCTAATGAGGTAAGCTGGACTGCACACCTGTCCAATGCTGTGACCTGTACATCACATTACCGGCATCACAGCCCCTCTTGCAGATTAATTGTAAGTGACATTCTATCACTTGGTCATATTTCCCAGACTCTGACCTGTCTTTGTTCATTTCTTTTAGTTTCCTAATACATCCATATTCTTTGTAATAGTTATTATTCCTAATTTAGAAAACAGTCAATTATTCCAAGAAGTAAGACCACTCTAAGCTCCCCAGAGACGGCTCTGATGGCCTTTTGGGAAGGCTAACCCATTGTTGAATTATCATAGATTCACAGGACATCATAGATTCACCTGTGGAATCAAGCAGAAAGAAAAGAGAATGAGGAGACAGTCTCATCCAGTCCTTCCCAGCTAATGACTTATTTAATACAATACAACAATGGTTATTTATTAGCCTAAGGTTCCTATACTATTTATTTTCATATTAACAGCCAATTTAGCTTGTGTTTGCAGAAGGGAGTTTTGTGACCATAATAATTCCTCCTGTTCCAATGAGCAATATTTGGAAGGAGATTGCTACAAGAGTAAATAAAATACTTCCTGAGCCTACTTTAATTCTACTTCTTCCTCACAATGAAAATGGAGCCATACGAATTAACGTACGAATTAAGGATAAATGATAGAATTCTTTAGGAAATGGACTCAAGCTATTTAGGAATTTTTGTAATTTGCAAAAATGCATCTAATATATTACACTAACAATATAACAGAAGCAAGGAGTTGAGTGTTTCTGAGAATGGCCAGAGTATTTGATTTCTTGATAAAAAAGTTTTATGCAATCAAACACATACTTCAAAAATAACAGCAATTAAGACATTCCAAATCATCATTTGAATGAAAGTAAAGAAAGAGCTTAGGAATGAGAACACAGTTTAGAGTTGAAGCCAATACATCTCCAATCCCCTAAGGTATATAAGAAGTTCATTATCTCTAACAGCATGAAAACATAATTAACTTCTACTAACTGAGAACTGAAATAACCTGACCACAGGTTTCAGGGTTGTATCTTTAGTCAATCTGGATTAAGAGTGAATTTGAGCCACAGACTATCCATTCACAAGCCGTATCTTGGAGAAAAGCAGGTGAGTATTGAGAGAAAGGATAAGGTCAGACAAGAGAAAACAATATCTGATTTCTGAAGTTATATTAATAACAAATCTGCCATGTACAATGGAGGGTGAGAAACCATGTACAAAAGACATCATGAAAAATGGATGCTTCAGGCTAGGGTTGTAGCTCAGTAGTAGAGCGCTTGCCTAGCACATGTGAATCACTGAGCTCAATCCTCAGTATCACATAAAAATCAATAAATGAAATAAAGGTATAAAAAAATGGATGCTTCACTATAGCAAAATAAAAATCAAGAATGATTCTACCAACTTTACTGAGATAACCTGTGTTGACATTAGCACAAAATGTAAATCATGTCCTTCAGAGATGAGAAACATCTCAAGACTCACCTCATGCTGGGAGAAGAGCCGAACACCCTCCAACTGGTGGAAAACTGGGTAGTGCTGGGAGTCAATCTGGTCACGCCGGTAGACATCACCCACCACCAGGAAGGCATCCAGTCCTGCATGCACCAAGTCCCACTGGTGTGCAGAAGTGTGTGCTCTCAGCATGTGAGTTCGATTCAAGTAGTAATTGTCCCCCTTCTTCCTGCTGGGGTGGTGAGCTGGGATGAGCAGGCTATCAAAGTTCTGCCAGGTGGTGACCACTGGACATAGGTCGTCATAGACCGAGAATAGTGGTGTCCCAGAGCGGCCCACATACTGCTTGTAGAAGTGCTCCTTCACTCTCTCCTTGATCAGCCACAGAGGGTGGTGCTGCTGGTTGTGCAGGTTCCTCCCAACTCTGGACAGGACCTTCTGGGTGAGGTTGGTATGGTCATCCTGAGGGTAGGACTTGCCCAGCAACTCTGTGACACTGCCTGGAGCTCCTTGGGCAACAAACTCTGATGCAGCCGGCCTGGAACCCCACACATGATGCTGATGGCTTCTGCTGACAGGACTGATCTTCCTCACCAGGCAGACGTGTGCATGGGCAGCCCTCCTGAGAGCTGAACAAACCATCATAGAAACTCCTCACAGATTCTGGAAAGAGCACACATGCATAGCCCAAGTCAGCTTTCACTCTCCGGAGAGTAAAGTGTGTCCTTTGTGTCTCCCACCAGTTCCCCACTTTCCTAAAGACATGTACCCTTCCCCAATGTCCCCTCTACACAGCAGGAAGATCAGTTAAGAAATTATGATGGCAGAGGCTGCTATGTTTAGAAAAATCCCCCCAAGAAACTCCTGTTGAAATTTAATTGCCATTGTAACAGTATTAAGATGGGACCTTTAATAGATGAATAGGTTGTAAGAGCTCTGCCTTGTGAATGGGATAATTCTACTATAACAAGAGTGGGTTCCTTATGGTGGAAATGGGATCCAAATAGAAAGATAACCGCAGACTCTATCCTCTCTCCTCCACCACAGATCATTACCCAAGGAAGCCCTCACCTCATGCCAGCACCTTGATTTTGGACTGCCCAGAATTTACAACTGTAAGCAATAAATTTCTTTTCATCATAAATAAATAACCCTGTATGGTATTCTGATATGGCAGAAAACAGACTAACTCAGAGACTTAATGACTAAGAAGAGGTGGCAAATACCCAGATGTAAATGACCAAACCCTGCAACTGGTAACAAGGAAGTTAAGACCCACAGCAAAGGATTCTGGACCACTAACACAATGTTCTTTCCCCACAGAAGCCAGTTTTCAGTTCCCTCAGGGATCTCAGTAATGAGAATCATTATATGTCATATTCCAATATTCATAAATAATTTAAGTTCATAAACCTAAATCACTCAAATGTACCTTCTAAAATTTGGAATTTTATCTACTGAGCTACTTTAAAATATACAACCATGTGGTTATTTTACTACAAGGGCGATGCAATCATAATAAAAAAAAACACTTCATGGTATTAAGCTGTATTAGGGGAGCATTACTTTGCTCCAAGTGACCACCAAAAGCTCACCTAGCGTGGACCTGAGCAGCATTATTCACCGGATTCAAATTGAAACTGAGAATACTTAGCTCCAAGTTAAATTGCTGTGCTTGTGTGAGTGCTTATTTGAAGCCTGTACATAGCACTTTTGTCTAAGAGTATCATCATATGAGAAGTGTCCAAAGATACCCCAAAACTCTGGATTTTTATTCATCTGGAGCCATTATTCTATTCTGTCCAAGTTGCTTCAAACAGGGTTAGGCATCAACTGAAGTCTGTCTTCCCATCTCCACTGCTCAGTGGCTTATCACTGCAGTGGATGTGAATTTTAAATATGCATATTACAGCTGGATGCACCTTAGCACACTCTGTATAATGTTGGGTACCCAACTCAGCACCCTAACTGACACAAGAAAGAACTTTGTTCCAAAGACAGATGCTGTTATACAAAGTTCAGAATTGTTCTAGAAAAGGTGATTTGGAGATACTCGTAGTGGCTGTCTATGCTTTTCCTTCTCAGTTTCTAGCTCCCCATACACCCAGACCTACTTCTAGGATATCAAACATGTGACCCTCCTTCAGGCCACTTCACTGATCTCCTCACATCATCTCTGGTGTGCTCACTAAAGTTTAATTTTCTTGTCCTCATTCTCAGTCATGCTTACATCTCCCACAGTCCATTCTCCTCACCCCAAAAATTACGTGTTCTTTTCAGTTATCATCTTTCACAGAGAAAGATTAATGGAAAGGATAGCTTTCCCACTCGTTTGTGAGAAGCCAAGTTCTTTCTGTTACAGAGCAAGGCCATCTGTGGAGCCACAGCAACTGCGGAGGTCCAGTCACAGTTTCTCCTGTGATGCTGAATGGATTTCAGAGGAGTTGCGCACAGAGGCAGGCAAGCTTATTAGAAGAGACTGGAAAAAGGAAAAAGGGAGAGGAAGTTGGTCCCTCTGAAAGGATGAGGACAGTATACCTCTCCTGCCTTCCAGTTTTATCACGGATCCCAGGGAAGTTTCCAGAGTCCTGCCAAGGTCCACCTCTTGAATTCTGATAGACAGTAGGATTGCATCAGACATTCAAGTTCCCACCATACAAGTCTTAAATAAAGGAGGGAAGATTTTTCTATTGAAATGATATGCCAAAGATCCAAGGCAATCCTGAGTCACCTTGGCCTATGGTGACTGGTCCTAATTGGAACTTGTTATTAAAAGATTTTATGGTTATGGGGTTTTGCTTCTAATTATCCTGTCTCCTTGAGTACTGCAATCTGTGTAAAGGTCATAAAAGTCTCAGTCCTTCAGGGTACCTTGTGTTCTTTTAAGCAAGAAAGAGCCCTTTGGGCCTGTGTCTGTTTTGCAGGTAACAGGCTGCTTCCTAAGGAATGTAACATATCCTGTTGACTAATGCCAGGATAAGGCTGCAGGCAAACTGCATTTGGTGGGGGGTTGGGGGTGGAGATGCTGGGGATAAAACCCAGGGCCTCCAATATGCCTGTGAGACAAGTATTCTACCACTGAGCTACATCCCCAATCCAGTGAAGCACTTTTTAAAAGAAAGCATGTGGGGAAAAGCATGTAGGTCCAGTTTATAGAATGAACCTCTTAACCTCAGTTCTTAAAGCTCACATCTGTCTGTTACCTATCACTTAGGAAACATGGGGATGGGGCTGGGGCTCAGCAGTAGAGCTATCACCTAGCACATGTGTTTGATCCTCAGCACCAAGTAAAAAATAAATAAAATGAAGGTAAAAAAGAAACCTGTCAGGGACAAAGAAAGATGGCAGAGCAGATCTAGGCAGCCATCCTCAATCAAAGTAGTGAAAGAAAAGCCCACAATCAAAGTAGTGAAAGAACAGCTGACCAAGGAAGTGGGTGTCAAAGAAAAGATTTGAAAGTTGGAAGGACTTGGAATTTGATTACTAAGCATAAAATAAGAAAGAATTCTCCATCCTGAACCCTGACCAGAGTGAGGCCAACAGGAAGAGTGAAAAAGACAGAAAGAGGGAAACAGGCAGATGAGTACCAATCACTGCACACTGGCTGCTCCCTGCTTGAATCAGATCAACGGTGTCTGCTGGGAGAGGAGATGATACCAACTCAGAGAAGCACAGGAACAGCTGTTTGGTGGTTATTTATTTTCAGAAAATAAAGAGTTTGGGGGGTGGAGACAATAGTGTCAGGTTGGTAGCAGTGACTTAGGACAGAGCAGCCAGTGCGGGAAAGAAATATCAATCAGGCACTGACAGAAAAACCTATCAATCAGCAGGATCTCCTGACTACTGCCTGTCAATCATCAGGACCCCCTGGCCAATCCAGGAGTTCAGCCAGCCCGCAGCCCCCGCCACCCACCCCCTACCAACTCCAGCAGGACAGGGGACTCTAAAACACCTTTTCCTGTCCCAAGCCCTTCCCTTCCTGCCTAAGCCCCTTAAAATCCCAGTCCAGTCAAGCTCTCACGGGGTTTCTCCTCAGGCCCTTCTCCTGTCCACTCTGTAGGTCTGAAGGAGTTCCGCCCAGGAGTGATATCTCAAAGAAAGCCTATTCGCTGGCCTTTTTAAATCTGCCTCCTTTAGTTGCTGCCCACGTTGCCTGATCTAACAAATAGTATTCTAGAACACTGGTTACACAAAGCTCATCCATAAGGGGAGAAAAAAGAGGAATCATAAAGATATCAAGAACTTCTGATATTACCATTAGATAAACAGTCTAAGCAAAAGAAACTTAAATACAGTGCAACAAACCAGTGTGACTCAGGGCCAGAACTGTATTTCCTACAGAAGACATAAGAGTAGGACAAGGATTCGTCTTAAGAGGGGCACCTTTGTGTACCTGAAAGAGCTGAGACCTCCATGCTTTGGGTATTAATATTATTTAATATCATATTTTCAACATTCACAAGATCCAACAAGTTTCCATCTTTTCTTTTTCTCTTCCCACCTCCCTTTCACTGGAATCACAGGTGCCTAGCCTAAAAACCAGTCTGCACAAGGCTGTCTGTGGCACAGCCCCACTAGCAACTCTGGATTGCAAGAGGCAAAAAAGCTGATGACAGGATCATAGAAATGGGTGCTTTAGCAATCATAAGTTAGCAGTTTGAAAGGTCCAGAATTTGAGTGGGAGAAATTCTTCTGGGACTCTCAGACCCATATTTGCTACTTGGGAGACAGACAGAGGCAGTGAGAATTGCTATTAAGTCATTGTCGTCAGAGCTATTCAGAATTTGGGATTTTCATGGCCGGCCTACCCTGGGACATCTACCACAGAAGCAGAGTTTATTATATATCAGTTGCTCCCATAGCAAGGCACCAGCCACCACGGCTGGAGATTAAGCACTGGAGTCATTCAGACCCACTCTAATGCCCAGCGCAGGACAGCAAGGCAAGGCCCAGTGGTAAGGAATTGTGACCTGGGGCTAACAGGGTCATATCAGCAGGCTGTTTGCACTGGGAGCTACTGAGCACATTCTCAGAAGCTGATGGATTTACTAGGTTTTCCCAACAAGCCCAACCCAAGCCCTATTTTCATAAGTGCCAGGCATCATCCACAATTGAGGAGAGTCAACCAGGTGGATCTCTCACATGCAGCAGAACACCCACAAGGAGAAAATGAGAAGTTATTTACTGTTAGCCTTGGGACAAGCTATTTCACTGGGAACAACAAGTTGCTTTTCCAGCCTGGGAAAGAACATGTAACAAGGAAAAGACACTCAGGAGCTTCCATCAAACCATACTAAGAGCTTTCAGCTGGCCAGAACAACATAAAAATTCTGCAGCCCCATAAGCATATACCAGAGGCAGACAGACAGAAGCCATCTTGGAGAAGTGCAAGAACTTGAGTGTGGAGACACCTTTGAAGCAAAAGTTTGATCTAGAAATGTCTCATAATAAACATACAATGGACTGGTCCTGTGAAATTTGCTACCAAATTCAAAGGCACTATGAGGTTAAACTGTGGAGCCTAAAATGTCAACTCTGCCTCCCAATTTTAGACATAATCCAAAATAAGAACTCTAATAGCTCCTTTCATTTCAAAAACATCAGAAAGAATAAAATTTTCACACTTTAATGTCAGCCTTTGTTATTCCACTGATAAAATTTTA